ATTAGCCTGGATACCCAGGTTGGTCCAATGTCATCTCAATGGGAGGCAGAAGTCTCAAGTAAGAGACAGGAGATGTGATGATGGAGGCAGACGTTGGAGTGATGATACTGCTGGCTTTGAAGATGGAGAAGGGGCCAGGAGCCAAGGAATGCAGGCAGCCTCTAGACCAGCGGTTCTCAACCTGTGGGTCGCAACCCCTTTGGCGGTCGAATGACCCTTTCACAGGGGTCGCCTAAGACCATCCTGCATATCAGATATTTACATTACGATTCATAACAGTAGCAACATTACAATTATGAAGTAGCAACGAAAACAATTTTATGGTTGGGGTCACAACATGAGGAACTGTATTTAAAGGGCCAGAAGGTTGAGAACCACTGCTCTAGACGCTGGGAAGGCAAGAACACTGATTCTCCCCTAGAGCTTCCGGAAGGAATGTAGCCCTGCTGACACCCTTAGAGTAAGATAATAAATGTATGTTTTAAAGCAAAGTCTGTGATGATTTATTACAGCAGTAACAGGGCACTAACACAGGGTTGAAGATTATTGGCCTCAAGACTTATTGTCCATGATTTAGGAGACAACACAGACCCACTTCAATATATTTGAACCAAAGAATGAAGATGAAGACAGTGTTTTAGAAAAACTGATCTGCAGCAAAGAATGAATAAGAAGACAAGGATCAAAAACAGTTAAAGAAATACTTGCATAAAGTAGTAAGACTGTTTTTAGGATGGTAAGTGTATAAGTGAAAAATGAAATGGTGCATATAATGGAAATTTGGAAGAATGAACCAATAGGACTTAATGACACTCTGGATATGGAAGGTAAGAGAAAGGTACGAAAGACCTCCAAGGTTTCAAACTTTGTGGCTTCAGTGCTGTGATGGAGGGAGGGTGCGAGGGTTGTGTCTAAGAGAAACCTCTAAAAATATAACCACACCAGAGGAATTCTCAAATGTTGATAGGCATGAAGATTATCTGGAAGGCTGGTTTAACATGCAGATTACTGGGCTCCATCACAAAGGCTGATTCAGCAAGCCTGGGCGATACCCAGGGATCGGCCCTTCAGTAAACACTGCTCTGATTCCGGTGATCCAAAGTTCACACTGTGAAAAACACCAATCAAGAAAAACTAAAAGGAAATGAAGTCCAATACTCATCATAGCTCTGGAAGAAACAACGAATCTTACTTAAAATCTGAAGGGGTAAAAATTGACATATTAGACAACATAAAAATTTAAATCACTTGTAAATTAAAATAAATATCACAGCCAAAATAAAAAGGTCCCTGGTGAAAAATACTTTCAGCAAATGGCTAATATTTTATTAACAGGCCACAGAAACTAATGAGCAAAAACAACTGAGACCCCTGCAGATAAATGGGAAAGCAAGTAAATAGAATTCCAAAAAGAAGGTCTAGAATCATAAACAAACTTAAGAAATGCCAATTACAACAGCAACAGGGCAACAAAGATTGCTTGCTAAATAAACAAATATCATTTGGGGAGGTAATATTCAAAGCTGATTAGATGCTGTGCTACCTTCACACTTGCTGCTCGTATTATAAATCCGCTAGACCATTTTGGAAGAAAGTAATTTGGCAATATATATCAGCAGCTGCAAACATATCCATACTCTTTGACAGAAAATGCTTCCTTAGTAATTTAGCTCAGGGACACACTCTTGAATATGGGGGGGGGGGGGAGATTATATGCAATGAAGGCTATCAATTATTGGAAGTTTACCGTGCAATATGCATGATATCATTTAGTCTGTAAAACAAGTCAATGAAGTTAGTACTCTAATTAGTCCCATACTAAAAATGGGGAACCTGAGGCACTGAACGATCATGTGACTTGTTCCAAGGACTTGATGAGTGAGGGGAGGTAAAGGCCGGCTGGGGAACATCTGCTTCCGGAGCCAGCACACTGCATTTCTACACCATCGTTACCACCACGTGGGACCATGGTGAGCACAGCAGTGTTTGTTTTACTAAAAAACGCAAGAAAAGAAGGAAAATAGGAATCGTATTGGGATAGTAGAAATATGTGTGGGTAACTGGTTTATTTCTCCAACCCCCATATTTTCTGCAAGATCTAGCTTTGTAAACCTAATTACTTGAGAGGAAGAAAATTATGCACATAGGAAAACAAAAACCAAAACCTCCTGAATTTTTCAAAAAAGTTCAAAAGAAATCCTATGGAAAGTGTAAATGATTAGGATATTTTCACATTTTAATATTGACAATTACAAACGTTTGGAAGAAATAATAATCATTAAGAACTTTCTTCAGACAACCAGATGAACTGTCAAATGGGCAATGACTTTCTGCATCAAAATTAGCCTGACAAAAGCAAGGAGGCATTTTTGTGTGTTTGTGGTACATGGAGAAGAGCCATGCATCTATTATTATACAAATGCACAGCACCTGTTAATAGCTCCCATATTATTTTAGAATTAACTTGGAGTCATTAGCTAAACACTTTTTTTAACCTGTGATAGATACACCGTAAAGTGTAAGAAAAATCAGGACACTGGCAAGAGAGCAAATTGCATCCACTGCAGAAACAGTTGAATATTTTTTTAAATTTAAATGACAATAAATTTAACTACATTTAAAGGGAAAACACTTAATGTAAAAACATAACATTCAACGCACATCACAAAACTCAAATACAGAAACTGGGGTACCGAAATTCTAACAAAATGATAAAGTTACGTAATCTGGCAGCAAGAATCAGTAAAGCTTGTATATTCTAATTTTTGCCCATTTCAATCCTTCTTAACACAATTTTACAGTCAAGATTACAGACTTGTTTTTACACCCTACCATTATCTGTACTTTCATAGTTACCCTTTTGCCAAAGCTCCTACAAATACAATGGAGCAAGTAAAGGAGCCTTCCAGCGGCTGCTTTCTGCTCTGTAGTAAATACGATTAGAGAGTCTCCAACTAAAATTCTGCTCCAAAAAGCTATTTTTTCCCTCTGTGTCCTTGTGAGGATGTTTTAACAAAGCTGCTAGAAACATGCAAACTTGAGAGATCTGAGAATTCCTATTCTCTTAACTCTACTAGGCCTGCTAATATAAGAATAGCTAAATTATTAACAGGATTGTAGAAATTGAGAGAAGTCCTAGAAAATCTGGGTGTTTTTTTCCTGTCTGTGCGTATCTAAGAACTGCCTACAATCCCTGGGAGAGGATCCTCTTCTGCAGAAGAAAATAAAATGTATTAGAGAAGAGAAGAGGGTGAGCGACCCTCCGCTCTAGGAAGTGTGGGCAGCCTCTGCTCGGGGCGGGCCTAGCTGGCAGCCACCCGGCTGTGCCTCGAGTGGAGCTGGTCCCAGAGTTATCTTCTGGGGACAGCTGGGCTGTGTCGGGTCCTGGCACCTGGGCACTGACCTGGGAGGTTAGGAAGGAGGCTCACAGTGACAGGCTGCCTGGTCATCAGAGCTGGGCTGGGGATGGAGCTCTGCTTTTCATCTCACTGTAAGGACTTATTGCAGGATTTACCCAGTGGAAATCTCTCTAGAATCTGTTTCCTCAAAAAGCAGTAAACAAAACGGAATTTCTTGAGAAGGACGTGAAACCCACACTCCAAGTTTGTTTCTCTTGCCTCTGGGTTGAAGCTTTTGTGAAGTCAGCTGGCAACACCAGGCCTGAACCTGTGCTCACCTGTGCTGTTGCTTTTGGAAGTAAACTTGGATGCAACACAATTTTAATTGGGGAATTAAATGTGATTGAATCCTAATAGAAGAGTGTACAGGTAACTGAGAGCTCCTCTTTAACCATTTGTACACCGTAAGCGTCTATAGACGCAAGCGGCGGACCTTTTTTAATTAAATTCAAAATATCGTGGCAGTTAACTGGTTAAAGGAAACAGAGGGAAACAGTCTCACTCATTTCTCCAGAATATCCTATTAAAGTTTCCACTCAAGACCCTAGTCTCAAAAAAAAAAAAAAAAAAGACTCTACCTGGTATTCGCCTTTTAAAAAAAAGTGGGAAAATTTAATTATAAAAAATGCTAAAGAACTTTTAAAACAGAGTAAGCACATTATCACATCATTTATGCTCTGCCATATCCCAGGGAATTTAAGACGTATTTAATGAAATTAAAGGAATAGACTTTCTTAAAATCTTCCCACCTAACTTCTTACCTAAGTGACAAAAGTGAGGAAATTAAATTATGCCATACATTTTACATATGTGTGCATATGTGTGTTTATATATATTCATATATACACACATATACATGCATGTGAATATGCATGCATGAAAGAAAAATAGTATAATTGCAATAACTCATATACAGTGATTTTCTGGTCAATTTCATGAGGTATTTCTACTAATAAAGTAATTTCAGCACCCCAATGATAATCTATAATCTGCAAAACATTACATTTTGGTATAAAATAAGAAAGTATTCACTCTTCCACTCTTTACTGATCATTTCTCCCAAAACTCAGCTATTCCTTTTACATTTTTGTCTCTTTTATCTCAGACTTTTAATGAAACACCAGTCCTATTCTGTGGCCTTTACAATTCAACAAAAGGCAGTGAGCCTCTTTCACAAGTGGCCCAAATAGTCCTACGCACACATGACAGGTGTATTTTCTGGGTATATGCAAGTATAAGTTGATTTTAACACATTTCTCCCTATAAAATAAAATAGTCTTTTGCTTTCCTTCTTTCCCTTTTGTAAGGCCCATTAAGTATATTTCATGGCTAAAATAGGGTCTGGATTTTATTCTTTCTGAACCTACCATCCCTGGCACAGCACACTGCGAACAGCTTGCCGTCTCACATCTGCTCATGTAAAAGATCTTATCAGAAAACCCACCCCCTCGGAAAGCACACCTGAAAGGACTAAGTCATGTATTTTCAAATGAAATTTACTTCATGATAAAGGATATCATACTGTTCCAAGAGCTCTTAATGCTCTTAGGAACCCCAAAAGCAGTCCTAACACATAGAGAAAAGGGGGGGGGGGCGGATTACCTTCTTGTGCAAGGCATGAAATTCGCTGTACCTTTTCTCAACAAAATGTTTTCTTCCATTCATTAGCACTTCTATCTTAAACACCTAAGGAGAAAAAAAAAAGATTAATTCTACCAGTTTGAAACCCTCAATTGTCTGATGTGGTAAGTTTGTGACCGTGATATATTTCATCCCTTTAATTACAGTAGCTGATCCCCCAAAACCCAGAAGGCCCAGGAGACCCTTGGCCCAACAGCACTGATTAATGAGCCCTCGAGCCAAATGCTCACTAACAAACTGCAGTATCCCCACAAACGTGTCTAGAAACAACGGAAACTTAAATGCCTTAAAATGCACCTTAACATTTTAACCAGAGGGTGTCCCTTCCTTAAAATTATTTCACCAAATGCAGATGACGGTATTGAAATAAAAGTGTGATACCACAGCGAGAGTCTGGTAAGAATCGCAGACCCGCAACATGCTATCCTGGGTGTTTCACTGGCGGTGCTGTGTCACGGATAAGACAATCATGCAAACGGTAGTGCATTTTAGGTTAATTTCTTCCTAACCGGCATATTCATCTCTAGTCTCAGTTGGAGTTATTCCGCTGTTTGCGAAACAGAGAGCTCGTGGTAAAGGTTCATTTTCCCTGCGTGACACGAGTGACAGCTTGTGCTTCCACCTCGGGAAGGTTGAAAGGCCAGATGCAAAGGCTCTCTGTGCGCACTAATTAGTAGGCACCAACATGACATTTTCTTGATTCTCAGGTCAGTGGGTCAAGACTGGAACAAGGGATGAGCAGTGGTGTGAAATGCTCATGAAAACACAATGTTGAGGTGGGGGGAGGATGCTGGGCAGGAACTGCAGAGAAGGTGCTCTGCTATTTCAAGACTTTGTCATTGGCTCCTGTTTTGTGAGCCAGTGTTGTCAACACGGGAATGAGAGAATATTGTTCAATTACTTAGTAAGCCTAATTTCCTGTTCCAATTGCCCTTCTGAAAAAAAAACGAAGGTTGAGGTCACATGAAAGAGAATAGTGGTAAAAGCAAGCTTACCTTATCCTTAAAAATAATTAGACATACAAGTTCACATACTGTCATTATTAACCCAGACCCCTTTGGCTCTATATTTCTGCCTTATATGTAAATACGACTTTTTTATGGAAAGCCAAAAATTATCTCATCAAACAAAATGTGTTTGTGTTGTGCTTCTTCAAAATCAGAAACAAAATCTTGAGTTGCATGACTCAGTTAAAAAACACTACCACCTACTTAAATGAGGTACATTTTTACCTACTTAATTAATAGTTTAGTCTAACATTTGTGTTTTTCTAAGTAATCCCCCTAAAAGTACTTTCCTTTGGTGAATTTGTGAAAATACTTTCTTCTAAAAACATACACATATGCTTCAAACGCTCAGATATCCCTACATTATTTTTCAAAAATAACTGTTTACTAATTCACTAGAGAAAACTGTCCTTCTTCAAAGACCCTGCCAGGAATAGAATAAAGAAAACTCCCTAAGAAACACAAACAAAACAAGTGCAGCTTCAACGTGGGGCCTGGTTAACAGGATGCAGAGCCTCCTCTCTAGCGTCAGGTCCCAGATTTAAATCAGGACAATGTGGGAGCAATGAGAGTCATTTCCATCTGCGGAGCTGCATGAAATAAATGAAGTTCTGTTCCGAGTCCAGTGACTTGAGGTTTCAACACAAACACCACCACCTTAATTGGCAGGTTTGCTGCAGAACCCAGAGAAGGAGAAAGTGGGTGACTTGGGAAGGTTCAACCCACTAGGTCACCCCTCAAGGTGCCCCCTCTTGGAGGCCAGATAAGACACATGACACAGCGGCTGCCTCATAGAATGTCATCCTTCTATCGACCAGATGGTTCCATTACCAAGTTCCACAGTTACTTTTCACAATCACTAAATTCACACGTTGGAGGTGGGGGTGGGTGTACACAGGAGTTGAGAAATTTTAATTCTAATATTTTAATTATGTTGCTATTTCAAAAATGCGTAATAATTTGATACTGTTCCCCACCCCCCTCCATTTTTTTTTTTAATTCTGGGAGAACATCTTAGAAAGGAGGCAGGTTAATAAGAATTTCCATGACAATGTGAAGCAAGAAATAGAGTCAATTTAATAAATCTCATTTCCCTGAATTCCATACCAGACTTTAAAATAAATAGATATATATAGATAGATAGATAGATAGATAGATAGATATTGATTTCAGAGAGGAAGGGAGAGGGAGAGAGAGATAGAAATATCAATGATGACAGAGAATCATTGATCGGCTGCCTCCTGCACGCCCCCTACTGGGGATCAAGCCCGCAACCCAGGCACGTGCCCTTGACTGGAATCAAACTCAGGACCCTTCAGTCTGCAGTCCGATGCTCTAACCAGCTAGTTTTTGTGTGTGTGTGTTTTTTTGTGTTTTTTAAGAGCTCTGACCCATGTTGTCTCTGCTGCCTGGAAACCCTTCTGCTCTGCTCTCCTGGAAAACCCTGAGTTGTCCCCTGCCTCTATGTGGGGGCAGCACAGACGATGTGTGGAAAGCTCCAGGCACAGTACCTGGCATTCAACCTTGTTTTTAACAGCTACTTCCTGAGGGCCTACCATGTGCAGGGCGTTGCTCTTGGCTCTGGGGATTCAGCAGTGAACAAAGCAGGTGGGAGAGTGTTCTATTAGTGAGGGAGGCCGACTGTGAAAGTATGAGCAGACCTGGTGATGTCAAGAAACGAGAAGAGCTGTGAAGAACAACGCAGGGTAACGGGACAGAGCTGGACAAGGGTGCCCTTAAAAACAGGGTGTCAGAGAGGCCTCCCTAAACAGAGAGGCAGGGGCAGGTACAAAATCTGAAGGGAATAGACCTGAAGAGAGCAAACTGTTCCTGAGTAATTTAACCACACATCAGAACAAAGCTCAAGAATATTTTTAGGAATATAAAAATATCCTGCACCCAACAAGATAAAAGTCACAGAGTCTGGAATCCAATAAAAAAAGTAGAAAAATATGACTCATAATGAGAAGAAAAACCAATCCTTTGAAACAGATCCTCAAATGACACAGATGATAAAATTATTAAACAAAAGCATTAAGATCATTACTACAAGGGAAGTTCTCATGTTCAAGAATCCAAAGGAAAGGTTGACCATGTTACATGGAAGCATGAAAGATATTTAAAAAATAAAAAGATTCAGACAACAGGTCTGGGTCCTATTGACAAAATCAACAATGTCTGTGACTTTAAAAATACACTGGATGAAATTGATAGCAGATTAGACACTGGAGAAGAAAAAATTAGTGACGTTGAAAATCTAACAATAGAAACTAAAATGAAACAGAAGGAAAAAAACAAGATAAATACAGCATGGGACAACTTTAAACAGTAAGGGGTTGGGAAGAAAGACAAATATATTTGAAGAAATAAAAAATTTTCTCCAATTTGGTGGATACTAAAAACCAACAGATCCAAGAAAACCAAGCACAAGAAACATGAAAGGGAAACACCCCAAAATAAAAACCAAGGTACATCATAATCAAATTGTCTAAAATTAATAAGAAATAAAATCTGGTAAGCAGCCAGAGAAAAAGAGACATTACATAGAAAAAGAAGAAAGACATGTGTAATGACAAATTTATCAAATCTCTCTAAAAATAACCAAGCTTTATAAGAGTGATTTAATACATATATACTTTAGTTATGTTTTAACTTAATGAAATATGTTCTATGTGAAGTATTATGTATAAAATAAAATGTACAATTAAAAGCTAGTTAAATCTTTAATAATTATTTTTAAAGTATTTTGGTAATTCTTCTCAGTCAAATGATAGCAATAATAGTAACACAAACAACAACAAGGAGTTTTATAGACTTGTTAAGTGCAGGCACTGATCTAAGCTCTTTACTCATAATGCTCATTCATTTCATTCTCACAATAATCCAACAATCTCACATAAGATAGGTACTATTACTCCATTTTACATGTCAGGAAACTGAGGCATGGATTAAGTAATGTGCCCATAGGAAAACTGCACTTTGAACCCAGTGATTTGGGTCCTGAATCTGCCTTTTTAGCCACTGCACATGACTGACTCCCCATGAAAGGACTCCTTATGTATAATCCTATTTGTTGGAGAAACTGAATACTTCGAAATAGGAGAAACCCTGAAACATTTTAGAGTGATGACAAATCTTTCCATCTATTTTCCTCCAGGTTCTGTTTTCTGGGGGGAAGTTTGCAGGATCATAGGGCACTGGCAGGGGTGGGGGTGGGGGTGGGGGCATGGCATGAGGCCTTTACCTCTAACATATGGAGCCTGTGTTTCTCTCAGTCAAACCAGAACACTGATCTATACAAAAAGCACACACCTCTCTAAAGCAGGGGACTTTTTAAATATAAATTACTAAATCTGTACTGTTCCCAACACTTGCTTATATAACCCTATATAATAAAAGCCTAATATGCTAAGTGTCCCATGGTCTGGTGACCGGTTGACTGTTCAATCATTCAAAGCGTAATATGCTAATGATATGCTAAGGCTGCTCGACCGCTCACTATGACATGCACTGACCACCAGGGAGCAGTCAACCGGTTGACCAGTTGCTATGATGTGTACTGACCACCAGGGGGCAGACGCTCCAACTGGTAGGTTAGCTTGCTGCTGGGGTCCGGCTCATCAGGACTGAGCGAGATGGGCCAGACACGCCCTGGAGGCCTCCCACGGTCCCTCCCCAGCCCTGATCATGCACCGGTGGGGTCCCTCGGCCTGTCCTGCACACTTTCGCAATCCGGGACCCCTCGGGAGATGTCGGAGAGCCAGTTTCGGCCCCATGCAGGGCTTATAGCTGGCGAGCACTGCTGAGGTGGCGTGAGCCTCTCCCCATCAGGACTGATTGGGCGCAAGCCCGCAGCAGGCGCAGTGGGGCAGATGAGTGGGAGCAGCAGGTAGGAACTGCAGGCGGCGTTGGACTGCAGGTTTCGGCCCGATCCCCACAGGCCATCCCGAGGAACCCACCTGTGCTTGAATTCGTGCACCACGCCTCTAGTGAAAATATAAATAAATGTACTCACATATAATTATAATATTGGGAACA